ACTAAAAAATGTGTTGGTTCTCCCTTACCATGAAAACTTGGTTGATATGCTTTCTCTTTTTAAGACTTTTAACATCAAAGTTGTATTTAAAAATATGCATACAGTAAAAAAAACTTTTGATAAAAATTCCCCCCAAAATGCTGACGGATGTGTCTATAAGATTCCTTGTAAAATTTGCGATAAAGTTTATTACGGTCAAACTGGTAAAAACCCTCGAACTAAGATTAAAAAACATAAATATAGCATTAGAACTGGACAAGATTCCAATGCTCTATTTATTCATGTGAGAGATTTTAATCATCCAATGATTTTAAAAAAGTTGAGAAAATTTTTATCAAGCAAGCCCCATGGTGGACAGGAATATAATTGAATCTTGTTTCATAAAAAGCAGTTTTGACAATAATATGAATATTTCCTTTGGTTTATATAAATTAGATTCATTTATAATTAATAGAATTTGGGAAGAATTTAATAATACATTGGACAAATAATAAATTTTAAAATGCTTAATTCTTGGGTAGAATAGTTTGTTGGTGGGTTGTGTGAAGGACCTGTCTAGTTGGGCCAGCTAGCCTGCTGCAGTGTTCCTTTTCTTATGAGTAGCATGCCAGCTGTTGCTTTGTTGTAGGATGTGATAGTGAGGTGTGGGCTAGACCCTTTATATGCCTTGCTCTGTTGCATTACTTTCATTGTTCCTTGATAATGTGAGTAGTCACGAAAGCGCTTGGAATTTCTCTATTCTTCTTTCACAGTGGTTGTTTGGGATATATATATATATATATAATATATATATATTATATATTATATATATATATATAATATATATATATATATATATATATATATTAAAATATATATAATATATTATAAAGGCTGAGAAGGTTGTATCTAGCTAAGGTCAGTGGTCATAAGCTGTCATAAGCTCTCTAGGAGTTAGCATGGGATATTACCGAACACCATGGCTTGTTGACCATTTTAGAATCTCAGGTTAAAGTGTTGAAGAAGGAGGTTCTACTTCTTCAGGAGGAAAATAGGGGGCTGAAGCTTCGCCTAGATGGGTATGGGAGTGTGTGTGAGATGGATGTAGCTGGTAAGGAGGAAATGGTCACCAGCAGTGAGAGTGGAAGCCGCTTTGTGATTCACACTTCAGGAAGAAGGAACATATGGAAAGTTAACAGAGAAGATGTGAAAGTAGGAAATCGATTCTCTGTTCTCCAGGACAAGTGTACTTCAGTGGTTAGTGAGGTTAAAGGTACCACTGAATCCCCTGCTAATCAAAGTAAGAATATTCTAATTGTGGGAGATTCTCAGATAAGATATATGGACCATGCTTTTTGTAACTGAGATAGGAATGTCAGACAGAGGGTGTGCCCCCAGGAGCTGGTGTTGGTGACATAGTCAGCAGGTTGGATAATATTATGTCAGGTAATTGGAACAAGCCCATTATCTTCCTTAGTGTTGGTGGTAATGACATTGGGAAGGGCAGGAGACAGGAGCTACTGGATAAGTACAGGTCAGCCATAGAAGTAGTCATGTCTAAGGGAGGGATCCCAATCATATGTAGCATCTTGCCTAGAAAGGGAGTGTACAATGAATGGATGTCTAGGGCAGTTGATATAAATTGCTTGTTAGACAGGTACTGCAAGGAACTTGCAATCCCATTCATTGATAACTGGGACAAATTCTATGGCAAACATGATATGTATGCAAAGGATGGGGTTTATCTCTCTGGGGCTGGAGTGGTTGCAGTACCCAGTTCGATTGAGGGGGTAATTGATGACTTGTCTAGGACTTTAAACTAATAAATTATAGAGTATGGGTGTTTGTGGGAAACAATCAGGCTGCAATTTAAGGTTGAAAACAGCAGATATTACCAGATACCTCAGGGATGTGTTTAAAAGACGATATTCAAAATAAAGTTGCTAGTAAAGGCAAAACAATTGATCAACAAAGAGAGACAGTAGAGGGCAACGAGTGACTAGATCCATTACGGTTTACTATACAAATAGTAGGAGTCTAAGAAATAAGATAAATGAGCTAAGATTACTTGCAAGTGCAGGTAATATAGTTATTAGTGCAATAACAAAGACCTGGTTCAACCTGAAAGTTATACAAATGCCTTCTGAATGCAACACACTGACAGGGTCAACAGGAAGGGTGGTGGAGTGGCGATGTATGTCAGGGATAATTTAAATTGTTGTGTTAGACATGATATAAGATTAGAAACATCGGACACAGAATCTGTTGGGCTACAGTTTCTCGAGGGTCATGACAAATTAATTTTGGGTGTTATTTATAGGCCCCAAACCTTGATAGGGAGTGCAGTAAGCTGTTGTGGGACAAAATTCATAAGGCATCTAGATATGAAAATGTTGTGATAATGGGAGATTTTAACTTTAAGACAAATTGACTGGAACAATGTGACAGGAAATCTTGAGTCTAGTGACTTTCTTGATACGGTTCAAGATTGCTTTTTAAAACAGTTTGTGACAGAACCAAC